TTTAAAAGTTTTTGGCTATCTTCTATACCTTTACAGTCTCTAAACAGAGTGACTATCTTGTTCCCATGGATACAAGACAAAGAGCAGCCATTAGAAACAGCTGGAGCATCTGCTAATTAATATCTTGGCCACGTGTCCAGAGGAAAGCCTTAAACAACTAACACAGCAGCCTTTGTCCTCATCTTCATCTGTAACATTCCTAATTTATGCACAGGCACCAGCCCAATTTACATACCCCTCCATATAAATGGTAAACAGAAACAGAGTTGAAGTAACAGATCAAGACACACAGAATCACAGAATGGTTGAGGTTGGAAGGGACCTCTAGAGATCTAGTCCAACATCCCTGCTCAAGCAGGGACACCTAGAGCACAAGGTCACATCTAGGCAGGTTTTGAAGATCTCCAGAGAAGGAGTCTCCACAACCTCCCTGGGCAGCCTGTGCCAGGGCTGTCACCCTCACACTGAATAAGTTCCTCCTCACCTGGAGATGGAACTGCCTGTGTTTCAACTTACACCCACTACCCCTTGTCCTGTCATTCGTCACCACCAAGAAGAGAATGTAAAGAAGATGGGGCCAAATTCTTCTCAGGTATTTGTACATGTTGGTAAGATCCCCTTGCAAAGAAAATCACGTTATGCACCTTGGTTCAAAAAACTATGGACAACTTTCTTAGCAACCCTGTATCATGGCAGTCATTTGTTAAAAAAAAAATCTGTTCAGGGTGTCCATGCAAAGAGGTGAAAAAACACTGCTGAGTAACTGAATAAATTGGAAAACACAGATGTCTGCTTAAGCAGAGCCTAGCAGCCTCCAAATTTAGCCTGCCTTCCAAAGAGCAATTCCTGTGCCAAGTGATGGGCACTTGGATTTCAACTGAGCAAAACAGAGCACCTATTTTTGGGTACCAAAACAAGTTGTTGAGTCCTTTACACATAAGCTGCCACATACAGCGATCCATTTAATATGAAATGGGAAGTTAGTGGTGGACTGTGATTCATTCATTAATGTTTTTCTAGTGTGTAGTTATACTACATTATCTTATATAGTGAGTTTCTATCCCAGAAAATGTGTCCTAGATGCTATTTCAACACAAATGAGAATGTGCAAGACTGATTAAAACCTGCACATATAATCCTAACTCTGATTTTGATGCCTTCAAGCCATGCACTGACAGCACCTCAAGCAAATAGGACAGACAGTGTGTGATGAAGGGCTCGGAGCACTGCAGCCAGTCTGAGCCCGGCTCTGACTTGCTGCAAGCTGGAAACTGTCCTTGCTGGTCTGCCCCACCGTGACAAAGCAGAGTGTGTGCAGGGCCAGCCAGAGCTGCGCTCGTAGCCTTGGAGGGCTCCTGTGGCTTCTTTGGCCCTAGGAAACCAGGCCAGTTTCTCTGGTGCTTCTGGACTTCGTGGAGAAGAAATACCCTGAGCACAGGAGGCTCCGTATTTGCACTTCTAAACGTAATTAAACGCCGACTATACATGAACAGTGTAGCTAACAGGAAACTCCAAACTCTCGAGTCAAACTCCAATAGTTAATTCTGTTGGATTTCAAGATGTACCTACTCCTGCCTGCCTCCCTGTTGGGATTATGACCTTGGCAAACCCAGACCCAGAAGCAAACATGCAACTTCTGTCCTGGAGAGACCAGAATCACACTGCATACCCAGCTTTACTGGTGCTTTTAACCAGCACACCAGAGGCAACCTCTGGCAGCTAAGGAGTCCGGCCACATCACCTCCACCAAACAAGGCTCAGTGTTGGGACTCCAAGGCCAGGTTGCTACCTCCCAACCTCACAAGCTCGCTGTTGGGCCAGGTTCCTGCCTGGCACCCCGCTGCCAAGCCCAGCATTCAGTGGGACGCAGTGACATCTAGCGGCACATTACCTTGGCCCTGCTGTCCTTGCAGTCCCACCACTCGGCTCGCAGTGTTTGGTGGCCGTTCCCGACTAGCTAGGCCAACAGCAAGCACTCCTGAAGTCCCCGACAAACTACCATGATGCACACCTGCCACTTCTCCTCCAGCTCATAGTATTTTCCCAGTCCCTGATTGACACCTAAGTGGTAAGGCAGTAGGCACACGTTTGCTTTAGACCTTACCTGCATAACAGTTTCTCCAGCATAAGCCCATTGTGTGAAATTAAGCCAGTATAATTATTTTGGCCTAGCTTTCCAGTGAAATAGGGCAAGTCTCCTACCCACCCTTTTGGTTAAGTTGTTCTCCAACTACATTAAATGTGAGAAGTTATTCACACAGAAAAGGCCTAAGGCTACATCATTCCAAACAGCTGAGATATATATATATATATATATATATATATAGTTCATTCACAGGTAAAATAAACTATACCTGTGAAAGTGCTAACTCTTTCAAGGAGGACTGACTTTAGAAAGGTAACTGCTGAGATTACAAGGACAGAAGATAAAAGTGGGATTCTGAAGGCAAACAGAAAGATCTTGCAGACTGGATATACGGGAGAGTAGTATACACCCACTTCCCTCTACCCCCCCTACATAAACCTCTCACCTTGTTTGGTGCATGATATTCCCAAACTGCCACAAAACACAGGTGCATGGTTATTCATACTTTTGGAGCTTGTGACAGCATAAGAGAAACTCAGAAGACATCTTCATGTAGTTTTGTAGACTTGAAGTTTTGTAGCTTTGCTAGTCATTTAATCAGTGCCAGACCTTCGCAAGCATTAACATTCTCCATAACCTGGACAGCAAAAGACTAAGATTTTCAGTTAACAGAGGTGAGGAAGTCTAGGATTTGTGGCATATGCATCTGTTACACAGGTCTACAGTCCTCAGAAAACATTGCATAGAGGTCATGAAGGAAAATCTGGTTTTGTTACTCAAGATTTGAAGGGTTGTTTTCTGAGGTACTTTTCCCTATCACCCCATCGTGGCCAAAGAGCACTTGCTGTTCTACAGTTCCCACATACAAACTTCTTTGAAGCAGAGCTCCCTGGAAGGATCCATAAGAAAATAGCACTTATCTAGTATAAATTAACCATTCTGTAATACCAATAGGAAAGAATAGAGGGCTGCAATAATTCCACTATACCAGCAAAATGAAGCTGCAAACACCCAAAAGTAAAAAGATGGAACACATAATAATAACTTCCCAAAGAACCTGCTTCAGGGTGAGCTACTAATATTTCCCCTAAAGGGCTGAAAACTGGTCCCTGTTTGTGGATGAAAATGGTTATGGCTGCTGTTGCTTTCTAATGACATACACAACCTTAAACATCACGCTGCTTACATGGAAAGATAATGAGTGGCCACTTATAACAGGTTTAATGCTGAACTTCAAAAGACATCATGCATAGTTTTCATCACACATTCTTCTGGTAGACACATCAATTTATTCAAGGCAAAGGCCTATCTAGAACCAAAACGTGGTTACTGAAACCACTGCCTCAGTGATTTCCGATACGCTAAACACATGCACTTACAGGTGGTAGCAACAAGAAAATCTATCCCATGGCTCCAACATCAAAAATGAGTATTTCAAAACCTCAGATCTTCCTGTCAGCTCTGCATTTTAGTACTCGTATCATTTTACTTAAATAAAATTCATCCATTACAAGGTGAAGTCCTCCGTTAATGAAAACTTGCTGGAACTCTGCATTGTTATCAAAATCCCTAGGTCAGCTCAAAGAAATCAATTCATATTACCTTTAAATGATATAAAAAAAACTTTTCTGAAGCCTCATCACAGAAGCGACTAGTTGACCAATATAGGTGATCAAGACAGGTCCACATAGATATGTCAAAGAACAGATTTTTCCACGGAACAATATTTTGTACTGACTTAACAAGAATCACCTTTTTTGTTTGTATCATTCCATTCCTCTTCTAATTCCTACCCTGACTCAGGCTCAGAATCCCTAATAAAGCAGAACTTCATTAAAACTTCAGTTTCCTCAGAAGTAAAACAAAAGACTGCTGCTAAGATCCTAGAGAAAAAAAAACAATTGTTCCTCCACCCACAATAGTTAGCACCACTATCCGAGAGGAATTTTCCAACTCGGAGCAAGAGACAGAAGCGCTGGCCTTTAGTCTTCCCCAGAAAGTACCAAATACAGCCATGAAGGCAAAAGCCGCTTGGTCACAGGGTACTGGCTTCAAACAGCAAGGCAAATTTAACAGTCAACTCACAAAGATCTTGTCTAACTTCAGCGAATCTATGACTATAAATTACCCTACCATAATGGTCAAGTGCAGCCTGAAGAGCACCAGGGCAGAGTAATATAACACGCAGCCTAACGTTCCTACTTGCAGAGTCTCAGCTGCATTTATCAATTTTGATTTGGGGCACAAGCGAAACCAAGACTTGCTATACAAAGACAGCCATGTGCAAAAGGGAAGGGATGTGTGAACTGGCTAGGAAGTATGCCAAAAGCAGTGAAGAGTCCCTTCAGCTGCACAGGCTTGTCCAGAAAGCTTGTGGGAACTCTTGAATTGCAGGCAAATGACTTAACTGTATTAGAAACTCCTACTTGAAAATTATACACATTCTTATATTACATTGTGTAGAAACATGTATTTGTGTAGCATATTTACAAAACATACACACAAGTTTCTCCTTTCATGTGTTCTCAGTGTACACAGTTATAGACTTGCAGCAAAAAGGAAACCAAAGGCAATTTTAGCTTCAAAAGTGATGAATTAAGTCTACACTGTTAAGTATTCTTCACTACCCTTCCCTTCAAGGTTGTCTTCATCAAAAGAAACAGCACACAATATAGAAGCAGTCCAGCTGAAAATAAACAGAAACTATAGGCTGTTCCCAGCTCCCTCTGGGCAACAAGGCACTCCATTAACTTCATACTAAGAATCTCAGAAGAACAGCAAGCAGCAAACATCAGCGAAGGGTAGAGGGAGATTCCAGTAAGTTAGCTCTAACTAATTTTCAAGTCTGTGCCCGGCCATATCTATTGTTCCCCATTTTCAAGCCTAATTGACTGTGATCGTGGTAACAAGACCACGATGTTCTTTCCTCAACTCTACAGAAGCCATGTGTGTTCACACTTCTGGAGGTCACATTCCCACTAGAAGCTTCACAGGTAGTGAACAAAGCTGCTATGGTGTCACGACAGTCACGGATCTGGAAAGCTACAGCCAGCTTTGCATCTCCTCTTCATATTTCTGGGGCTCAATAAAAGGTTTGTCTATGGACCGGATCATCAGCTCACCACAGTACACACACTCAGCTGCCACAATATCATCGATATCGGCTTTGATCTGTTCCCGGCTCTGCTGCCCCTTCCCCAGGCTAGCAGTATCTGCATCCTTAGGACGATGGTGGCCCTTAGAGGGCTGGCCAGCAGCTGCCAGCTTCTTTTGAAGATCTTCCAGTTTTGCCTGCTTATAGGCAGGAAGGTTTGGAAAAACTGCTTGGAGGAGGCAGTCGTAGTGAAACATGTGGCCACAAAGGAAAAGGTAAAAAGGGCGGTTTAGAAGCGGAAAGTCACACGCAGCACATTTTTCCTGAGGTTCCACAGAGCCATACTTATTTCTCATTTCCTGGATGTCCTCTCGGATTCTCTTGGCACTCTGTGTGGCTTCCTCCATCTCCCTTTTCAGCTCCTCTATGTGCTTGTTGTAGTCCTCCAGAGAGTTGCAGATTGCCTCCTTGAAATGGTCAATAGTGACGAAGTCTGGGAAGAAGGGCAGGACATCTTCAATCTTCAGCAGGGCACAGCTGGAGAGACAGGCCATTGCCTTCTTGACATCCTTCTCTTCCTGAACAACATGGCGAGCAATCTTCAACCAGAGTTTCTTCCGAAGTTCTTCATCATCTTCCGGGAGATCTGCACAGGACTTGGCAAGATCAACATCCACCTGGAAGTTGAATGGACAAGAAAACTGAGGTAAGCCTTCCTCTTTATTTCCCATCGAACTTCAAAGCCTGTTGTCCATTTGAAGAGACACAAGCAGAAAGTTTCTAATGCTGTCTCATTATCTGGCATTGCACTTCTGGTCTACCACTTTTTCTTACATGTCAAGCACGTCCAACAGTATTTCTGTCGAACAGCATTTCTCCAGCTAGAAAATTTGCTTGCCACACAACAGAGCACTACACTGAGGGCAAATCTATGCTCCGGTATCTTTATCTACCACACATTCTAGTGAAGAGACAGCAATATTAAGAGAGAAAATAATACAGCACTTTTTTGACAGCCAGACTAAGCTGACAAAGGCATTCTCCTGTGACACTATCCCAGCAAGGAATAGGAAGCAATCAGAATAATAGCTGAATAATAGCTATACAAGTCTTGCATAAACTCAGCTACATTGAAAGAATTTAATGTTAGAGCTGGTCTTAAGGTAGACGGAACTCTCCATTTCCACCTCTCCACTCCCAGTTATGGCTTGTCAGTCAGCTATTCACTTAAAACAGTTGTGGAAAAAAATAAATGAGAATCAAGTTAACATATGGGGTTTTATTCCTAGAACTTATTTGCTCCTATACTGTCAAGTTTGTCCACCTCCTCTCAGTGCTTGTTTTCCATGCTGTAGCCTGCACACACACACACACACACACACACACACCTGCAAAGCAAGATCCACCGCCTCCTCGTACAACTCCATCACTTTGTAAATATGGACACATGCACGGTGGTGTCCATGTTCCGCACACAAGCGCAGCGCGTACTTCAGGTCATAGTGGATCCTGTTTGGGTTGGTTCCTGCTTGCTCCAGATAGGACAGCAACGAGTCTGGCCGACACAAAGCGTAGAGAGACAGTAGATAGTTGTGAATGGCTTGCTGAGTTTCCTCCAGCTGATAGACACAGAACTCCATATATCTGATGGCTTCATTGATCTGCTGGGTGCTGGCACTCTGGCTGTAGTTAACAAGGGCTGGAATGAGGTTCCTGGCATCCAGTTTTGAGCCCATAGAAATCCAAGCATCAACTACCTTCTTAGGAATATGCTGTATGAGGACTGGAGAGAACTTGTAGAACAACTTCTCATCTCTGTGTCTGGACAGCACACTTAGGGCTTCATCATACTCATCGTGCTGGCAGTGGTGAGCTACTACTCGCTCATAGTCCTGCATGATGACTGCAAAATACACCATGTGCTCCGTGTCCCCGTGACTTGCCAGCAGCTCATAAATAGATGTGCGGTTATTAAACAGACAGTCTTTGTTTTTGGGGCTTCCCAGGAAGGTGCGAAACTTCTCCCGTGTATCCAAGTAGAGATTCCGCTTTGAGGAATCTCCTTCCAAGATACCTAGCCAGTTCAGGTAAAGCTCTGTTAACCACGTGGTCAGCAGAGTGGTCTGTGTCTTCTCAGAAGGCTTCAGGTTGTTTAGCTTCTTGATTAGAAACTCCATCAAGGCCTCCTCTTGTTTGGCTTCAATGAACTTAAGGGCAATTTCCTCAAAGTAGTTCTGTGTCAGTGCATAACACTTAGCACTATCTAGGTACCTCTTGTTTTGGAAGCAGTGCTCTGCCTCTTTTGCCAGCACAATATCTAGGCACTCTGGCCGATCTTTACAATACTCTTTGGCTAAATCAAATTTGTTCATGTTCATGTACATCTTCCACACATCTCTAGATTCCCGCTGGACGTGGTAGCGGAACACTACTTTCTCTGTGTGGATCCATATCTGCTGGACAGTGGGATCTTTGATCATGCGTGTTAGCGTGCCGAACTTCTCCAAGAACAGATCTTGAAAAACAATTTGCCCATTCAGAGTACATACAGCCTTCACCCCATCGGGAAGCAGCAACAGGAAGTGGAACTGGGTAAGTACAATGGAGATTGGCTTGTTCACAGTTATGTCTATATCAGAAGGGTAAACCCAGACCCGTTCCTCACTCAGAATTGAATCGGGCCGGCTATAGTCCAACGTGCCGTACAAGACACCATTTCCCATCATCCAGGCAAAGGAGCGGGGGTTGGAGCGCAGCTTTGGGGTGTAGAAGGCTATTTCACTGAAGCCAAAAGTGGCCGGAAACTCCCGGAAACTGGGCAAATAGTCAGCGTGCACAGCAAATATGGAGCTGAAGCCTTGATGCTCTGTCCCTTCAGGGACCTTGCCAACAAACTGAAAGAGTCTTTTTTGAGTGGTAGCTATAATAAAAAATTTCCCTTCTATGCCTCGTTCAATCTCCAAGCAGCAGACTGGGACAGGTCCCGATTCCTCCTCCAGAACGTAAACCAGGCGAAAGTACTGGTCAGGGTTGGTGCTGAAGAGGCTCCCCTCGCTGACAGAGATCTCAGCCTCATAGATCTGCCCCTGGGCTGTCCCCACCAGAATAGGCCCGGTATTGGTCTCTGTGCCTAGAAATTTGTTCCAGCCCACACTTTCAATCAAGTGGCCTTTCCAGCGAGACAGTGCTCGCACTTTCTGAACACTTCTGTTTAGGTAAAGGCATTCACTGGTGTTCAAAGCAATCAGGAGATGAGAGCCTGCCAACAGGAGAGGAGCACAGGAAGAAGAGAACAAATTTAGATTGTACTTCCACAAACTAATTTCCCGAAACTTCTCGGTCTCATATTCAATAAGCACTGACACCAACATACTTAATCCAGGACTTCCCCAGGTACTCAACATTCAAAGAACATATTGGGAATTCCCATACTGGATAAAACAGAGGTCCATATGCTGCAAGCTAAAATTAATAGTCCTAGATGCTTCAGCGTAAAGGCATTCTTCCATTACACTAAGAAATGCTCTAGAGACAAAAAATTCCCAGAGTTTTCTTTTTCTTCCACTTCTGGCAGGTAGCAATAGTAATAATGAGGCTATCCTCTCTTTTTTTTTTTTTAAATCCGTCTATACCTCAGTGAATTGCAAGCGTTACAGCACCCTTTAAAAATTCTGATACATACATACAGCAACAGGCAACTGCAAGGATTTCCTCATTAGGTTTTGGCAGTCTTACTCAGAACAGCTTGACTGAATCAGCATTCATTTCAGAGAACTCAAAAGCAAAAATATACATATAACAAGTTATTTTCTAATAGCCCAGAGGCAAATCAGTGGACAAAGCCCCTAGGCAATGGAGTTCAGCCCACAGAAGGACCACCTGCTTGCCTTCTTTGGAGAACAGAGAAGAGACTCCTGCCCCAGTGCCTGCTAGGTGATGGTGTGCAGTCCATTGCCTCACCTGTATGGTCCAAAAACATCTTGTAGACTTTAGCTTCATCTTTGCGTCCCAACTCTACCTGATTAGGCTCATCTGGTTTCCCAAGATCAATCCTGCAAGGAAAAGCCATGAAAGCACACTATCAACAAAAGTCTGCATGAACTTTTTTTTTTTACAGTTTTCCATATATTTCAGGTAATTAAAAAAAGGAAAAAAAAAAAAACCACATACAATAACTTCAGGTCGCTCATAGAATTACCTGAGAAGAGTGTCTTTGCCAAGGCTCATACAGAGCTGGTTAGAGGAGACCACAAGGCTGTTAATTTTCTCTGGAGGAGTGAAATCAATCCTTTGCTTATTAAATATTGGTGTTTCCTTTTCCAGTCGTGCATTCACATAACCTGGAGAAAGAAGACGTGCACTTAAGCTCCCTCACACACAAACAATCTCCCCTCCATACTACATGGAAATCTAACCCAGAAAGCAAGAGTAATCACCCTCAGCTCTGAGTTTTACCCAAAAAGGAGTGTGCTTCATGGCACAGCAGAAAACAAATGTGGCAATATGTCTTATTGTCTTGCCTTTATATCAGGCTAAGTAAAAAAAAACAAAAACAAAAACAACAACAACAACCACCCCACAGATGTTGCTTGTGTCAGATGGGGGGGGGGGGGGGGAAGAAACAAAAAAAGAAAAAAGGAAAGAAAAAAAAGAATGTGTCCAGCAGGCAAAACAGCAGCAAGGAAACACACACTCAGGAGAGAAAAGGAATGACCCAGCAAGATTATAAAGGTGCATGAGGGGAGAAGAGGAGGGGTTCGTGCTTGTTTTCTAAGCTTCAATCACAGTTCAGATCAGCACACTTGTGACTCTTCAAGATGGTATCAACTACAATTAAGCAGATATAGGATCATCCATCATAAACAAAAGGAATTTAATTAGTGTTTGCAATGGGAAGATGTACTTCTCTATCTTCCACTTCCCTAGACAACGCAGAAAGGGAAGTCTAAATTATATAATACAACCCTTTCAAAGTCTTCTCTACCCTCACCTTAACATCCCTTTTCTGTTCAGACCAGAACAGTGGAAATATTTCCCAATTTGATTTCTGGACAAATGTTTTTTTGATTTAAAAAAAAAAAAACAAACTTTTGAATCTTTTGAAATCTTTTTGAAGCAATCTTTTTTGAAAAAGTAAAAAAAGCTTCAAATTTGTTCACAGGATTAATTTTACCAATGTCAGTCAAGTCTACAGAGTCGAAGCAGGTCCTTTCACGTTGAAACTGCAGCATTTAAAGTTCAGGAATACTCAGTGCTTGCAACACCAGAGCCACTATTAGTTATCTACAACTTTGAAAAGCACCTGCAACTGCACTGGGAACAGGTAACTGAGGAGAAAAGGGGCAGGGGGGTGGAATATGCTTTACATCTTCCAAGATTTCCTGGGTAACACCAAGGATTGCTTTCAGGAAGGTAACTGTTTACTTCCATTTTTCCCCCAAATCAGTTTGCTTAAACTCCAGATCGCCAACAACTTCTAGCAATCCAAATTTTGTTCAAAGCCAAGAGCGCCAAGTGCTTCAAAAACAGGTACAGTCACAACTAGGCTGCGCCTTTGCAATCAAACACCTTCCAAGACTTCCTTTGCCAACATCACTTGTCAACAAAGAGGCAGACTTCTCAAAAGTAAGAAAGCCACAGTTGAGCAGAGTTTTACAGCAGTGAAGAAGAAAACCTGAGCGGTAGCAAATACAATCCTCAGGCACACACCTTATGCCAACACAGTTTTGCTCAACACCAATTCAGGGCACTTTGTCAAGTATCATTCATTACAAAATAAAAGTGCATATTACAAACAAACCCTACAGAGATCACACCTACCCCGGTAGCTACACTCTAGCAATGCCCTGGGGGTATTTACCGCCCCTGACACGCGGAGCACGGTACAATTCGCCGGTTCTTGCCACCGCAGCCGCGCCTGGGCCGCCCCTCCGCGCGCAGGCCCCGGCGCGGGCCCGGGCCTTACCGGAGTGCGGGATGCCCACGGCGGCGCGGCTGGGCGGCACCGAGGCCGAGCGGTACAGCGAGTCCTCGTACTCGTCCAGGATAGACGCCATGGCTGCCAACGGCCAGTAACGGCCAGTAACGGCCGCCAACGGCCGTCACCCCCCACCACTTCCGGCCGCGCTCAGCTGAGCCGCGTCACGTGCCCGCCCGGCGGCGCTCTGCGCCTGCGCCGCGGCGGGGCCCCGCCCCCGGGGCGGGGCGGCCGGGGAGGCGGCCGTGCCATGGCGGCAGCTCCGCCATGGCGGCAGCCCGGGTGTCGTCATGAGTGAACGCGGGTCTTGTGACGCGCGTGGGGCTTTTCTCGTTGTTTCCGTCCTGTGCAAAATGAACACGGATGTGCAAGTGTGTCCTGTGCGTTATGTACATAAACACGAATCTTCACAACAGTTTTATTTAGGCTGCCCAGGGACGTACAAGTATCTTGTGCTTTACACGGGAAGAAGCAGGTTGTAAGAAGGTTTTTGGCACGCTGGGAGATCCACTGGAAACTAAAGCAGTTCCTGCTGGTGACACGTGGGTGCTCGGTGGCTGGCCGGGCACAAGCAGGGACTTGCCCCCGCCTCCTCTGCCCTTTCACTGGCCCCTGCTGCCCCCCAAGCCCAATTTCACTGGAGATGCCCTCACCCACCTCAACTCAGCCTGTGTTTCCTGGCTGCCACGGACAGCAGCCCGCACCCCACTGCCCGCAGCCCCTGCTCATTGCCACCCCGATGCGGCGGCAAAAGCAGCCAGACCGCATGGCTCTGCAAAGCCCAGCCCTCCTGGCACCGCAAACAGGCAGGGCGCTCGCTCGGCTTCCCTAGAGCTGCACGCAAATAACGTAGGTTTGGGGACATGAGGTAGGAAGGGACTTGTTGGCCCATCGGATCCAGTCTCCCTCTCTTGCAGATACCACATCATAGAGTCTTTCATTACAAGCTCTCTCTCAAAGTGTGGGTGCTTTTTCCCCTGGCTTTTCCAGCTGGTACATGTTCCAGGTCCTCCTTTCTGTCCTAACTTCAAGCTCTAATTTCCAGCCTAGATAACTCATGGCTAGTTTTAGTCCATTTGTTCTTGTTCAAACACTCTGGTGTACATAGCGCTCCCATTCTGGCAGTAACTTCCTTCAGAAAAATCAGTCAATTTTAGCCTTTATTCTGATTTACCAGATGCAAGATTTACCAAAACAAATAATTCTTTCACTCCTCTTAAAAGGAAAACAATTCATTTCTTGGAGCATCCTCCCTGCATCAGTTGCATCTTTATGGAAATTTTATGGAACACCAGTGAGCAGAATTGCCTGCTCATTTCAGATGAGATCTTTCCCATTGACTTGCTTATGTGTTTAGTCTTTTGAAGACACATATTTAGCAGTAGGAGATGAAAAGTGTCTCTGCTAAGGGGAAGAACCTGCACTCTCAAAATGAATGTGGAAATTTGCCCAAATTGAAATTTGGGCACAGCTTTCTTACTGTTCAGCTGTACTGGGTATTTCTATGCAAAGCCTATATCAGGACCTGTATTTCTAATCTTTCTTGGTCAGGTGCAGAAATGGACATTTTCTTTCCCATTCTGGCCAAGACTGTTGCTAGGTAGGATTGCTGCTCCATGAGAAACATTCACAAAGTTTAATGTAATTACATGGAAGCCAGTTCCTCACCACGTTTAGAAATTAAGCATCACCCTAAAGCTAGTTCAGATCCTGGCCACAAGCCTGCTCTGTCCATCTGCACCATCATGTGCTGTGGGTATTTAATTTGCAAGCATGTGCAATAATTATATCCCAGTGCTGCATTCAGTTTTGATATTCTGAAAAGCAGAGGAGAGCAAGGGTTAGATGGAAAAGATTATCACTTCTTTGATTCCCCGAGACTGCGTGGAGAGTAGATGATTACATTTTGTGTGCAGTAGTAATGACTCTAATTCCTATTAGAGGGACTTGTGGGAGAGGACTGAATGATTTTGGTGCTACATTTGGGTTGGAAGCACAAGCTCCGGTGCCGTTTTTCATGTGGTTGTGGTCATGCTCACAGGAATTTCAGCTTCAGCAGATAACATTTTCTTCAAGCTATGGACACAGCTATCAAGAGCTGTATGCTCTATAACATATTCATGTGTTCAATTGCCTTGAGGAACAGATTCTAGGTGGTGGCAGTGGCAAACATGTCCGACACCCAACAGAAACAGTAAGAGCAGGAAAACCTTCCCCACACGGTCAACACTTCGTAGCTAGACCCTCAGTTCTGATCCTTGAGGAAGATCTACGTAAGATAAACCTGGGAACTGAAACAGGAAAGCCAAAATCACAGCATCTTGCAGCATCTTACTGTTTTCCTGTCTTCAAGCTGGCTATTAACCTTCCCCTCGCTAATTCTCTCATCCCTCCCTAAGCATTAATGCCTTTCTCTTTAATTATCTAACAAACAGAATTAAATTAAGGTTGGAACATTGTCTCCCAGCCTATCCTTAATCTGAATTTTACTGTTTCAGATTTTAGGGCTTTGCTGAATTTTACAGTTTCAGATTTTAAAAAAGGGCTGAGGCCTTGCCCACTTCAAGTTTGTCGAGCTGCCATAATATGAGGTGCTCTTTGTCCAGCAGGTGGCAACACACATCTAAATTATTGATCCATCGTCTTAGCGGTGGGACTCGTTTCTGTGCAAGTCACACAGAAGGTGAATTAGCCTTTGAGAAAGTCACTGGGTACAATATAAATGTGTATTTTCCCTTGAAACATCTAATAAAATATTTCATGTACTAGTGGTATTGTTATCCGTAATTTTAAAATGTGATATAATACTGTCGCAATACTTTTGGTCTCCACGTTAGCTTGCCTGGCAGTGAATAGACGGGCTAGAACACCTCCTGCATCCCCATGGCCTTGCTTTTGGTTCTGGAGAGCAATGAAGGAGATGAGGGCAGGTGGAGCTGAATGTCCACATTGATTCTCTGCACATTGGTTCTCCACAAGGCACTTTAAAACCACACACCTCCAGTGCCACTGAATCTTCATGTGTTTTTATTGCTGTGAACTCAGAAACTAAGGAGTTCCTATTAATCGAGAAAGCCACACAGGAAAGAAAACACTTGGTTCATTTTTCCTTTAATTTCAACTGGGGGCTTTTTTTTTTNTTTTTTTTTTTTTTTGTGAAAAACAGAATCCAGTGACTTGGATTTTATGGCTACTTATGCCTCTGCAAAGTTGTTAGAAGATGATAAAAAGCAGCACTTTGCATCGCAGATAACAGTGACCAGACAAAGCGTGCTGCCAGGGAACTCCAGGCAAGGCTCCTTGCCTCACCTCCTTGCCTTCCACTTCTTTTAAGTGCTAATTGTGCTTGATTTTTCCCAGGAAGGATACGCACACAGGTGCATGACAAAATGCCCCGTGACTCAGCATTAGTTGTCCTTCTCCTTGTGATTATGAAAGCAGCAGCCCCGGCAGCGGGTGGATCTCAGCTTCTTCAGCAGCTATCTTGGCATCTCGTGATCCTGCTTGCTCCGGGCGCTTGCACACCACGTTAGCCCCTCTCTTAATCTAGCTCTCCACCCATCCAGCCCTTGTTCTTGGTGCCATTGTCTCCAGTTTTCATCAACCCCCTTTTTGTTTTCTTATTGTTTTATGTTTCCCACTGTGAAAGGATTCAGAAATGTGATCCAAACGCGCCGTTTGTGAAGGGAGTGGATTGACATACGCAACCCATTTGAACAAACTCGGGTGAAACCAAAGGCCTGGCTTGCTTTGCACCCATAAGTCATGTTTAGGGTGGCTGACAGACATTCCTCTCTCTCTCTGGAAGAAGGAAACTCTAGTTTCTAAAAGTGAGGTCTGCCAATTCACACAGCGCACAGTGCTCTACTTAGGGCAAACTGAATAGTTCAGTAAGCTTTGCATGAAATAGTGGCTCCCATTCTGTGTTTTTCAGGCAAAATGAGAGGCTCTGAAATTTGGTTTGTGGCTGCACGTAATTATGAACCTACAAATGAGATCAACAAGAGAAGCAGAAAATGATGGTGTCTGAGGTGCCCTATTCCTCAGGAGCCAGTACAAGTCAAGACCACTAGGTACATAAAATCACACTTTCCTAATATGATAACACTGCACTTAAGAGGGGAAATTTTGTGGACTAGTTGGAGCTGATCCATAGATTTGTTCCCACTACAAGAGGCAAATCATAGTCTCCTATTTCACTCGTCATCCAAATAGGCACATTAACCATTTTTAATGTAAGTGTGGACTTCTCTTGTTTCAGTCTCAGCAAGAAAATAGCAATTAGAAATGTGCAGAATAGCAAGTGTCTTTGTCTAAACAACTGATTTTTTTTTAATAAGAGGACTGTGCAGACACGCAAAGTTTGTTGAGTGGTGAGAATCACATGCTGCCTAAATATATAGTTTGAATTTCCACTGTTTATCTAACAAAGTAGCTTTTCTTTTTGTTTTTAATAAGAAGCTACAATGATTGTGCAGCCCAGCTGAGTAATAGCTGAACACCAGCAGTACCTGAAGCCTATATTTGGTCTGCCTGAAAGCAGTTTGATCTTCTGCGCTTGGTTCCCAGTGTTTAAGCATTCATTCCGTGAGGAATCCCGTCGTAATTGGTGCTAATTTACGTTCCTGGGAGAGAGGCCAAGCAAAGCCCTGCAGTCTGCACATGACCCACTGAGCCGGGGAGTTGATCTTGGCACGAAGCGAGCCGGGGTGGCCGTGCGCGGAGCAGTGTCGCAGTGCCCCTGGTAGGGCACAGAGCCTCTCACCGGGGCTATTGACCCAGCACAGCAGCTCTACAGATGGGATGGACTTTCACTGCATAAGCAAAATCTTGGAGAGATCTTACAAAACTAGAATGTCTGACTCCTTCTGTCTGACTCCTTGCTGCGTTATGAAACCATATCTACATCTTCTGTTTGCTGTCGGAGCAAGGCAGGACCTGGGAAACGAACCTGTGGGAGCTGCCCTGTTTGTTTGCTTAATCACTTAGTTTAAATATAGATTAAAAATCACTTAAGCTCATCCGCAAGTTAAGTGTAGGCCAGCCAATGGCTGTCAGAAGCTGCAGAGAAACCACAGTCCCAGAAGCAAGAGCTTTTGGGAAAGAATGAAAGGAAAA